GGTCTGGTTCCGTTTAATATCTTCATCAATGATTTGGATAATGTCATAGAGAGTACACTTATAAACTTTGAGGATGATACCAAGGAGGGAGGGGTTGCAAGTTGTAGCTCACGAAAGCTCATGCTCAAATAAATTGGTTAGTCTCTAAGGTGCCACAAGTACTCCTTTTCTTTTTGGAGGATAGTACAGTAATTCCTCACTTAAAGTTGTCCCGGTTAACGTTGTTTTGTTGTTACGTTGCTGATCAATTAGGGAACATGTTCGTTTAAAGTTGTGCAATGCTCCCTTATAACGTCGTTTGGCAGCCACCTGCTTTGTCCACTGCTTGCAGGAAGAGCAGCCCGTTGGAGCTAGGTGGGGGCTTGGAACCAGGGTGGACCAGCAGCCCCCCTATCAGCTCCCTGCTCCCCTATATTCCCTGTGCAGCAGCTGCCCAGCAGGCTATCAATTGCCGGCAGTTCAGCTGTCCCTCCCCCCACTGCTATGTGCTGCTCCTGCCCTCTGCCTTGGAGCTGCTCCCCGGAGCCTCTTGCTTCCTGTGCGGGGAGAGGGGAAAAAAGAGGGGCTAATGCCAGGGTGTCCCCCTCCACCCTGCTCCTGCACCCCGCTTACCCCATCTTCCATAGAGATGACATGACAGGGCTCAGGACGGAGGGAGCTTCCTGGCAGCAGCTGCCATCTCAGTTTGCTGATTAACTTAAAAAGGCAGTGTACTTAGAGTGGGGTCAGTGTTCTTAAAGGGGCAATGCGCATCTCTCTCTCTCTCTCTCCCACACAGGGTGTGTGTCTCTGTCTGTCATGCTGTCTCCCCTCCCTCCATTCATGCTGCCTTGTAGAGTGTGAGGCTACATTAACATCGAGTTAGCACTTGAGGGCTCAGCCAATTGCTGGTTCATCATTTTTCAGTAAGGCATCCCCTGGGAAATATCCCACCCTCTGAGTTTACCACCTCAACGAAGCTTCACAATCATCATTGCTGTGTAACAGTATTAAATTGTTTAAAACTTATACTCTCTGTGTGTGTATGTGTATATATAATGTAAATGGGTGGGGGGGTTAGGTTCCAGGGAAATTTTTTTCTCCAGACAAAAGATTTTATAGAGAGAGATTTTAAAAAAAATTTCCTTGGATTCTAACACCCCCCCCCCCCATTTACATTAATTCTTATGGGGAAATTGGAGTCGCTTAACATCGTTTCGCTTAAAGTCACATTTTTCAGGAACATAGCTACAACGTTAAGTGAAGAGTTACTGTATTAAAATTCAAAATGATCTGGACAAACTGGAGAAATGGTCTAAACAGGATGAAATTCAATAAGGACAAATGCAAAGTACTCCATTTAGGAAGGAACAATCAGTTGCACACATACAAAATGGGAAATGACTGTCTAGGAAGAAGTACTGCGGAAAGGGATCTGGAGGTCATAGTAGATCACAAGCTAAATATGAGTCAACAGTCTAACGCTGTTGCAAAAAAAGCGAACATCGTTCTGGGATGCATTAGCAGGAGTGTTGTAAGCAAGACACAAGAACAGGTTTCAGAGTAGCAGCCGTGTTAGTCTGTATCCTCAAAAAGTAAAGGAGTACTTGTGGCACCTTAGAGACTAACAAATTCATTTGAGCATAAGCTTTCGTGAGCTACAGCTCACTTCATCAGATGCATGCGGTAGAAAATACAGTGAGGAAATTTTATATAAACAGAGAACATGAAACAATGGGTGTTACCATACACACTGTAATGAGAGTGATCAGGTAAGGTGAGCTATTACCCAGAAGTTACCTACTACAGGACAGGCCCAACAAAGAAAATAACAGAACGCCACTGGCCATCACCTTCAGCCCCCAACTAAAACCTCTCCAACGCATCATCAAGGATCTACAACCCATCCTGAAGGACAACCCATCACTCTCACAGATCTTGGGAGACAGGCCAGTCCTTGCTTACAGACAGCCCCCCCCCCCAACCTGACAGGCCAGTCCTTGCTTACAGACAGCCCCCCCAACCTGAAGCAAATACTCACGAGCAACTACACACCACACAACAAAAACACTAACCCAGGAACCTATCCTTGCAACAAAGCCCGTTGCGAATTGTGTCCACATATCTATTCAGAGGACACCATCATAGGGCCTAATCACATCAGCCACATTATCAGCGGCTCATTCACCTGCGCATCTACCAATGTGATATATGCCATCATGTGCCAGCAATGCCCCTCTGCCATGTACATTGGCCAAACTGGACAGTCTCTATGTAAAAGAATAAATGGACACAAATCAGATGTCAAGAATTATAACATTCAAAAACCAGTCAGAGAACACTTCAGTCTCTTTGGTCACTCGATTACAGACCTAAAAGTGGCAATTCTTCAACAAAAAAACTTCAAAAATAGACTCCAACAAGAGACTGCTGAATTGGAATTAATTTGCAAACTGGACACAATTAACTTAGGCTTGAATAAAAACTGGGAGTGGATGTGTCATTACACAAAGTAAACTTATTTCCCCATGTTTATTTCCTCCCTCCCCCCGACTGTTCCTCACACGTTCTTGTCAACTGCTGAAAATGGCCCACCTTGATTATCACTAAAAAAGGTTTTTGTTTTGTTTTTTCCTCTCCTGCTGGTAATAGCTCACCTTACCTGATCACTCTCGTTACAGTGTGTATGGTAACACCCATTGTTTCATGTTCTCTTGGTATATAAAATCTCCCCACTGTATTTTCTACTGCATGCATCCGATGAAGTGAGCTGTAGCTCAAGAAAGCTTATGGTCAAATAAATTTGTTAGTCTCTAAGGTGCCATAAGTACTCCTTTTCTTTTTGAAGACACAAGACGTAATTCTTCCACTCTACTCTGATGAGGCCTTGTCATAAATATAAAGGGAAGGGTAAACCCCTTTGAAATCCCTCCTGGCCAGAGGAAAAACTCCTCTCACCTGTAAAGGGTTAAGAAGCTAAAGGTAACCTTGCTGGCACCTGACCAAAATGACCAATGAGGAGACAAGATACTTTCAAAAGCTGGGAGGAGGGAGAGAAACAAAGGGTCTCAGTCTGTCTATATGCTGTTTCTGCCGGGGATAGACCAGGAATGGAGTCTTAGAACTTTTAGTAAGTAATCTAGCTAGGTACGTGTTAGATTATGATTTCTTTAAATGGTTGAGAAAAGAATTGTGCTGAATAGAATAACTGTTTCTGTCTGTGTATCTTTTTTGTAACTTAAGTTTTTGCCTAGAGGGATTCTCTATGTTTTGAATCTAATTACCCTGTAAGGTATCTACCATCCTGATTTTACAGAGGTGATTTCTTTACTTCTATTTACTTCTATTTCTATTAAAAGTCTTCTTGTAAGAAAACTGAATGCTTTTTCATTGTTCTCAGATCCAAGGGTTTGGGTCTGTGGTCACCTATGCAAATTGGTGAGGCTCTTTATCCAACATTTCCCAGGAAAGGGGGGGTGCAAGTGTTGGGAGGATTGTTCATTGTTCTTAAGGTCCAAGGGTCTGGGTCTGTAGTCACCTAGGCAAATTGGTGAGGCTTTTTACCAAACCTTGTCCAGGAAGTGGGGTGCAAGGTTTTGGGAAGTATTTTGGGGGGAAAGACGTTTCCAAACAGCTCTTCCCCAGTAACCAGTATTTGTTTGGTGGTGGTAGCGGCCAATCCAAGGACAAAGGGTGGAATATTTTGTACCTTGGGGAAGTTTTGACCTAAGCTGGTAAAGATAAGTTTAGGAGGTTTTTCATCCAGGTCCCCACATCTGTACCCTAGCGTTCAGAGTGGGGAAGGAACCTTGACAGGCCTCAACTGGAGTATTGTGTCCAGTTCAGGGTGCCACATTTCAGGAAGGATGTGGACAAATTGGAGAGAGTCCAGAGAAGAGCAACAAAAATGAGTAAAGGTCTAGAAAACATGACCTATGAGGGAAGATTGAAAAAATTGGGTTTGCTTAGTCTGCAAAAGAGAGACCTAGAGGGGACATGCTAACAGTTTTCAAGTATGTAAAAGGTTGTTACAAGGAGGAGGAAGAAAAATTGTTCTTCTTAACCTCTGAGGATAGGACAAGAAGCAATGGGCTTAAATTTCAGCAAGGGAGGATTAGGTTGGACATGAGGAAAAACTTCCTAACTGTCAGAGTGGTTAAGCACTGGAATAAATTGCCTAGGGAGGTTGTGGAATCTCCATCATTGGAGATTTTTAAGAGCAGGTCAGACAAACACCTGTCAAGAATGGTCTAGATAATACTTAGTTCTGCCATGAGTGCAGGGGACTGGACTAGATGATCTCTCGAGGTCCCTTCCACTTCTGTGATTCTATAAAGATACAGATAGGCACCTAGTGGGATTTTCAAAAGGCGCTACGCACCTAACTCCTTTGGATTTCAATGGAAATTAGACACCTAGGTGCCTTGGAAAATTCCACCAGGGGCCTGTCTGCATCTTTAGATGCTTAAATACCTTTGAATCTGACCCCTTGTTGCTACAACTAGAGGCATCTGTGTATAAATCAGGCTCCCATTAGTGACATTAAATTCACTTCAATAAATAATATTAATTTTTCCACCTCACCAGAAAATCTGGACGCTTGCCACCCTGTCAGCTTATGGCCCTAACAAAGTATTGCACCCAAATGCCTTTGGCAGGAACCACCCTTTCTGCTGCAGAAATGTTCCTAAGGCTGCAAACACACATGCTGCTGCTGCAGTTGTCTCAAAGGCTGGTTAAAAATCCACATCACTTTTTCATGTAGCCATGATGGCCTTGGCAGGAGTTTAATTCCAAAATGCTCCTGGTGATGGATCCTTCCTAAATATTCCATTTAAAAGCAAAAACTCCACTTCAGTATTACGTATATCCAGCCTCTGGATCACCTCAAAATGTAAAGGCTGAGACTGATCATGGTATTAAAACATTATTAATTTTATCTTTAAAAAGAAAAAAGCAAGTATCTGTTAGCAACAGTTAGCCATTATTTTCTTTGGCTTACCCTGTTCTCTCTGTTGCAGATGCGCTTCCTAAGGGCAGTGACCCAGAGGAATCCTTTTATTGGTGGGTCAAGGTTTAGCCAGAATGGGTTTAGTGAATTACCAAAATGAATTCTTGATGTAAAAATCTGAGACCTGCACATGTTGTCTCCAACACAATTACAGAAGCGGAGTGTAGAATTTGCAAGGATTCAGCACCTACGTAAGTATCTGAATGAATTACCATAGTCAGGAGCAGGATTGGATTGCGGGCTGGAATGTATTGCCCCTGAAAGTCTAATTTTTAATCTCTTTTTGCTGTGGGATATTTTTAAAGTAACTGGTGAATCTAATGGAAAGGAACTTCAAAAGAGTGCAGTCAGTCATCCAAAAAGTTTGCCTATTGAGGTCTCTTTCTTTCTGTTGTCAGTTTCTGTTAACGTGTACATGTGCATTTATTAATTGCCTGAGCATGAGTCTGGTTTGTCAGGAAAACTATAGGTCTAGATTCATAGGTCCAAGTTCTGTTTGTCCAGCAGTGCAGTATTGATATATTTAACTACATTATAAACTCTCTAGGACGCGTGCCATCTTTTACTTTGTTTGTACAGTATTTAACACCTCAGTTCTGATAGGCATCTCTACATGAATGTTAATCCAAATAAGTATATAGAGCCTTTCATCTATGCATTCAATGTGTCTTTCCAACATTAATTAGTTAAGCTTCACAACACCTTTTTGAGATAGGTATTATCCATATTTCACTCATGAGGAAAATATTATAAACATTTTGTCTACTCTAGGAAAATATTGCAGATTTGGCTTCCAGCGTTGCTAGCACCAGGGGACATTTTTGCAAACTTTCCTGAGCAAAGAGAGGAATAGAGAGGCTACAGGACTTCTCCATGATAACACTGTGAATTGGTAGAAGAACTGGGAATGGAACAGAACCCAGGGGAGTCTAGTTTTAGCCTCATACTCTAACCAGGATACCTGTTTGACATATTTCTCAGGTCAAATGATAATACTGTGCCTTTCAGAAAAAAGTATTCTAGAAACTTGTTTCAAGTGTCCTGGTAATCGTTTATTTTTACTTCTATATAAAATCATGAATAAAAAATTGACACCAAGTGCATCGTGCCTTATTTTGGGCCAAGATTTCTCTTTGGGGCCCAGGGTTACTGTTGTCCCACTTTTTTGCTGTAAAAACCAAAACATGGTTAATTTCCTCAGGCCACAGTAACTAAGTTGAAACACAGAAATATCATCGTTTTGTTGAGTTCACTTAAGCGCACAAAACATTGGACCAGGGTTTCACAAAACTCCGTTTTTGCACCCCGAGTCCTATCCTATTCAGCTGCAGTGTATACCATGCACACTAACTAGCCACGGTGTCTGCCCCCACCCCTTCCTTCAGGTCAGGTTTTGAGGGGGTTTCATCTGCTCTTCCTAGAGTCTGTGCTAGAAGCCATCAACTGAGCACCATGGCACCTACTATTTACCTATTGTGTTGGGGCTCACTTCAGCTGCCAGGCCCAGACCCTGACAATCAGGATCTCTTATGAGATTTCTGGTACTTCCTTCTTCTGGTTGGGCCAGAAGGATCACATCATCATCCCTTCTTGTGGTATTTTGAAAGTTCTCCTGCTGACCATGACCAGAAATAGCTTTTCCCAAACAGCTTTTCTCATGAAATTATGGTATTTTTGGTCCTGACCCAGAAGTGAAAACTTATCCCCAGGTTTCAGAAATTCAGTTTCAGTTCAGTTCTAAAAGGGATGAAGGTTGAGGAGGGGAAGCTTTCACTTTATCAAAACTGTATCACCCCAGTCTAATTACAATTTTTGTTATGATCAGAGGTGGTTTTTTTTTAAACTATCACTAAATGCTTCTTAGCTGATTATAAGGAGAGGTTACTTACCTTGTTTAGTAACTCAAGTTCTTCAAGATTGCATCCCTGTTGGTGCTCCATATCAGGATGTGAATGCACCTGTATGCTCTAAATTGGAGATTTTCATCACTAGTGTCCTCACGTGTGCACTAGATAGCCTCATGCTCTGGTGAGGAGGCATATCGGGGAAGGGGGAGGTCGACCAGCTGCCATTTTAGTTTCTTCTCACTGTTGGAAGTTCAGCGAAGGGACTCAGAGGCAGCAAGGAAAGGAGGGCAGGTAGTGGTGCACCCATCGGGAGACACATCTCAAAGAACTCCAATTACTATACAAGGTAAATCACCTCTTCTTCTTCGTGTAGTGTCCCTGTGGTGCTCCATGTCAGGAGTGGTACCTCAATTATGCAGGAGGTTGCTGAGGAGGTGGATTCAGTACAGATGGTAAAAAAAAATCACCAAAAGCGCATCAGTTCTGGTAGCAGGCACAAGAGCAAAATGCTGGGAAAATATGTGCACTGAAGGCTAGGTGGCTGTCCTGCAGCTGTCTAAGATAGATTCAGCCCTGGTGGACTCAGCAAACACCTTTGGGAGGGGGTGAATCCCCGAGGCTTCATAACAGGTTAAGAAGCATCCTGCAAACCATTTCAGCAGCCTTTCAGTGGAAAACAGATGTCCTTTCAATTAGTTCTGCACCTGAGATCAAAAGCCACATGGAAGCCCTAAAAGGCCTAGTCCTGTCAAGGTGAAAGGCAAGAGCTCTTGTTTACATCTGATGAAGTGAGCAGTAGCTTACAAAAGCTTATGCTCAAATAAATTTGTTAGTCTCTAAGGTGCCTAAGTCCTCCTTTTCTTTTTATCCCATATATGGAGGCTCACTTCTCTCAAAGAGTGAGGCTTGGGAAAAACAAGAAATGTGAAGAAAGGATGAAGAACAAGGTGACATAAAGTTACAGAAGTGAGAAGAGTGCAAGTCCAAGGAGAATCTTGAAGATGGAGAATGATGGCACTAGTTCAAGAAATGGAGAGGAGGCCAGTGAAGAATTTCAAGGATCAAGATGATGAGTTCCTGCTTCCTGTGAATGGATGAAAAGATGAGCCACCATATTTTGGATACTTTGAATTTTGGAACAATCTGAAAGACAAATCTTGAGCCAAGCAATTACATAAAAAATCTGCATTTGCAGGAAGGCAGACTGGATGATCTTACAGTCCTCTTCTCTCTTTAATGCCTCTGATTACATTATAATACCTAATGCTGCCAGGTATGCAAACTTCTAGCTGAGAGAAGCTTAGCTCCTATGGCTTTGGCCAGGGGAGACTACTTTTTGGCTCACCCAATAGATCTAGTGCCTATGGATGTTTGGAACTTGCTTCCTCTCCAGATCTGTAATAGCTTGAGTTTGTTAGATTTTAGAGAGTGCTGCAAAGTCCACTTTTGCTCCCTTGCACATTAGCAGATGGGTGTTGAGTAGGGCCGGGTAGCAATGGCATAAGAGTCAGGCGGGAGTTCTGTAGGGAGGCTTGCTATATATATGTTGATGCTGGGGGTTTTTGATCTAATTTGATTTAAAAGGTGAAAGATCTGTTTATTTAACAGTGTATTTTAAAAACTGTCAAAGGCAGCCTGATCATTGGATGGGTGCTCTTTTATTGTAGTTTGTGAAAGTCCAAATAATAAAATATATGAAATAAGGACCACAACGGTCGCTAATCGAGTCTGTCATGGTAAGGTGCAACCCACAAACACAGATAAAAGACTCCACTAAGGAGCTACACCCACTCTAGTGTCTGGCAGTCACATCAGTACCAAGACATGAAAGCATGAAGAACAGTTTTGGCAGCTAATGATTGGTATGCTTAGGATGCTGAGATCTGTTGGATTCAATATAATGCATTGTCTACCTTCCCCCCATTGCCACCCGCTTTTAAACACTCTGCCTATGACTTCTACAAAAGAAGTATACAGTAAATCAGAAAACAAATACAGTGTAAGTTCAAATAGAGGGGGAGGAAAAGACACATTCTGTACAACTAATAGCACTGAATGAAACTAAACCTGCTGCTAACAGCTTTTCAGTCTTTATTAATCACTTTCATACAGCCTAGCTTAGACTAACAATTAAACAAACAAACAAACAAAAAAAGAAAGAAAGGATTCAGGTAGCCTAAGTAAGGAAATCTGTGCATAGTGCATCCATTAGTTAATATTTTCTGAAAAATCATATGTTACAACAAAATTAAACTCTCTGGCACTAATACAAGTTTGTCTGGCCCACTAAGTTAACAAATTTGTTACTACACATCATTTATAAACTGTTGTTTTCCCTCCAGAGTAGCTAAAGCTATGACCCTTTGGTTATGTGTGTTCCTTGAACCTTCCTCCATGAAAAGTACCATGGAGTCAGTATGTTGTCACGATGCGCTCACTGAAAATGTCCACTAATGACCGTGGAAAGTAAAACAGCCCTTTGAATGGTTGAGGGGAATATTTAGGAATTTCTTCATGCAAAGTTGGGCACCCTAAGAGAAAAATGCTTTCAAGGTCAAACTATTGTTTATTTTGGAGCCTATTTCTCTTTCTGCTTTCCTGGTGACCTAGGAATGAGCTCACAATTGGAAGCAAACCTCTCTTCTGTTTCCACTCCTAAAGAATTACCTACTCTCTGAAAGCTCACAGGATTATCGATGGCTTTGCACCAAAAATACGATTTGGAATCCTGTGGAAAACACACACACACGTTTGCGTGTGTATGTATGACACTGACAGATTTAAGTTAAAAAAAAAAACCAAACTGTAGAAACATTAAAATGAAAAGTGATTGAATTCCTAGTAAATGGAAAGCTTCCCATATTCACAAATGGTCTGCTTTGTGCTTGAAAGTGAGATTACCTAATCTAGCATGACTCTACAGGACAGCAAAACATGCTGTTTTGTAATGAGTGTATAACTTTCACACTGTTTGGCAGCATCTCAAACTGAGATCCAATTAATAAACAAACTTTACTCAGGCTTTGAGTGTGGTTGTTGTAATATGGTTTTCTACAAGTGGGTACTTTTGACTATTGATTGCAATTATGATGATGACATGAACAAAAGCACTGTCTGTTTGCCCACCACACCCACACACAGAGTCCTTCTGACGACCAATCCTACTGAACTAGAAGACTATATCACCAAAGGCCAAATCTCACTTGCCTCACTTTTGTCAGCCTCCAACTGGGAATTTGCAGACAGCAAGGCAAGCAGAATTTGGCCCCAGCAGGGTTAGCCTTAGGTATAGACCACTCTAACAACCACCTATGGCAGGGGTAGTCAATAGATGGACCATGGGCCAAATCCAGACCATCAGATGCTTTTGAACAGACCACGAAATCTTTTTATTTACTTACTATTGTTATTGCGATGTGTAGTCTGGACCTTGACTATATATTGACCAAGAAATTTGGACCTTGAAAAAAATTGACTGTCCCAACCTAGGGAGTTGATTTTTCAGGGGTATATATCCAGCTTATTTTTCTCCCCTGCATAGCTTATGTGGGGGTCTTCCCTTTTAAGCCCTTCCAGTCCCCCACACAACTGCAGCTAGGGTCAGGGGCCACTGCACAAATGCAGCTCCAGCTCAGCCTTTCCAGCCTTGGCCCCAGATAGTTTTCAGGCGAAGGATGCCTAGTGTGGCTTAATGTTTAGCTCCAGCTGGCCCTGAAGAGGCATATGAGGACATTTGTTTAAATATGAACTGAACTTGGGAAAGGTCTGACTGCATTTTTCTTTTGCAACAATCAGCCCATTAAAATAAATCCTGACAGGAAGACCGATACCCAAGTGATGGGCATGCTGTGTGAATAGAATAGAAACAGGAGAAAAGGCTATAACTACTGTATTTAGGAAATGCGTCATCCTACTCCACTTACCTCCAAAATCCCTGGAAAATTACTTGGTAACTGAATTTTTAAAGTTTGCTTTGGTTCCTCCTCATACACACCTCTCCTTCCCCCTTTCCTGTCTTTATGCCTCCATCCTTCAGGCATTCCAGAAGGAAGAATTATAAAACACAAAACCCACCATAAAACCCAAATCTACATATGCAGGAGAGACTTCTCTTAAGTCATTCCTTCTCTTTTTTCACTGATGTATTCTCTCAAGAGTGATAATAATCTTTTTTGAAATGCAGGTCTAAGACGGAAGGAATTTTTATCTGGAAGAGTAATATAAATTAGCTTTGACTGCCAGTTTCCACTGATTATTACTTTCCAGGCGGAATTCCTACAAATTCTTGAGGCATGACCTCTGATGAAAAAATAAACCCCTTTAAAACTTGTTGAGAAATTCCAGATAACTTTCACAAGAGATTTAATTTTAGAGCATTAACACAATCTTGGTTGGAAAGATAAAACTACAATGCAGTAATTTGGTAGGAGTCATTACTTAACAGTGAAGTCATTTGAACTTATTTTACTGTGCTTAACTTTTTTCTCTCTTTTTTTTCCCAAGCTAATTTTATTATGCATTACTTAATGCACTTTGGATTCACCCTCATAAAAGGATAAAGTATCTCAGCAGATAACCAGTCTTATTCAGTTTGAGAGTAAACTTGTGAGCATTAGCTATCTACCACCAAAAAGTCAGAGTACAGGATATCATCTACATATTGTCAGTTAGCATTCATTAGCTTGTAAATCTTGGTTTTGTGAGGCTTAGGAAAAGGTAAAAGCTGCCATGGATAGAATGGAACTGTTTTAAATACCAGTGCCAAGCAGTTACTAATGGCAAATACATCTTTGAATCCTACTTCAGCTCTCCTAAGCAAATAAATAATAATTTAAAAAAAGGCAAACCAAGAAAGCAGCTCTATTTTCTCTGCAAACACATGACCAAGTGAGAAACAAAGGCTGGAAGATGTTTATATTTTAATCATTGTTATAGTTTTTAATACTTAGGTCTTGAGCATATGATCCTCAGCAGGCAAGGCTTCTGTAGGCTTCAGCGAGCATTACGCGGATGGGTTTTGGTTCTGCAAGTAGCTTTTTGCAGGCAGATATTGCAGGGAGCCTACTGCTATCAATAGAGCTGCATGCAAGTACCAGGGTCTGCCCTGATTGGGGTCAGAGAGGATCAAGTCCTGAGTAATCATTTTCCCTAGGGTAAAGCCAGAAGCATTCTCAGCTCAATCCCATGTAATTTATAGTAGAAGCCCAATATTGCCATAGACAAATGAACAAAAGGGGTGACCATCTCTCAGTGCTCTAGATTAAAAATAACAAGGCTCCATTTTGGAGGACATTCTTTCTTCGACCCAAACAGGACTACTGATTTAACCTTGTATATGTTAGCAAAATGGCTGGGATTTTCAAAGGTCACCAAAGAACATAGGTACCCAGGCACAGATTCACAAAGGTTATTAAACTTCTAACTCCCACTGTACCCAATGGGAGTTAGGCTCCTAAGTACCTGTTTGAATCCAGACCTCAATTCCAATTCACTTCCAATAGGAGTTGGGTGCCAGGCTCTCTTAGGCCCCTGAAAATCCCAGCCATAACCTCATCTCTACCTTCAGATAATAATAAATTTATTCCCTTCTTTTCCACGTTATTTCCATCTTCACATATTCTGGGGAAAACCTGCTCTGTTCTACACACTGTAGAGTCACCGGTGATATTCCCCCTCCCCACATCCTATTCACCAAGGTCATGTCTTCCCAAGAGATGCATGCAGGTGCATCCCTCCGCTCATGCAGAGGCATGTTGAAGTCTATGTACTTCACTTTGCAGGATTAGGGCCTCACTGGAGCCATGAAGCTGGATAGGTCAATCAGAACTTTTCTTTTATGGGTAAATATTCATTTAAAATAAAGCCCCACCCCTTTCCCTCCCAAAAGCTGCCTACGGCATTCTACCAGATTCAGCTATGTTACAAAGGAAATAATATATTCTACTTTAGTAGCGGATGACCCAGAGATTTGGGGAAATGGAGATTTCTGACTGAAATCTTTAGCGATACCAGACACGCAGCACCTTGGGTCAGTACGCTGAAAAGTGACTCAGATAGAATGAGAATTTGTGTGTAGTCCTCAAATTCCCCGCCCCAGCATGAGGACCCCCACTAGCAGTGCTGATTGAAAGTTTTCAAATGAAATCTTTTTCACCAAAAAGTAATCTTTTTCAAAGTGGACATTCTCCCTCCCCCCACCCCGACCTCCCAATTTCTATAAACATTTTCTAAAAAAAAAAATTAAAATTTCTATACAATTTTATAAAATATTACATATTTTATATATTATATACTTTTATAAAATTATAATTATATATATCATATAATTTTATAAAATTTATAAATTTCTATAAAATTTTTATAGACATTTCTATAACAATTTCTATAAAAATTTGGCCAAAAAAATTGAATAAGTGAAAAACTCACTTTGTAATCCCTCTTTCCCCCCGCCCCCCCACCCCCATTTTTTGACTAACTCTGCTGCATTACCAAGCTTTGTGCAGGGAATCTTCTCGTGGCCACAGTTCACTCCTGCTTTCCTTCAGTCCTAATAGATTCTATTTATCCTCTCCTCTCCTCACTGCATTACTGCCCCCATGAGCAGTTACTCCCTAGCCTCAATCCCTGCCCCCTTCCAGATGGAGATCCTTGCCCTTCTCACACCATTCCCAGCAGAAGCCTTGCTGAATAGATAGCAAATTTGGATTTGGCTTGTTGTGCTTAATCAGAGACTAGACGAGAGAGAGTGAGTGGAGCCCTGACCAGTGCACTTCAGCTGGAAGGTTAAGTATGAATGCTGTCCCCTCTAAGGTAGGAAAGAGACTTGTCCAGCAGTTTAGGAGCATCTAGCAGCTCCTTCAGGTACACCCCCAGTAAATATCTGTGTTTGTAGAGGTACAGAACAAGGGACCATTTCCTAAACTATAAGGGTCTGGAAAGCAGCTGGATTTCATCTGGTGTGGGGGAGTCCCCAGCTGCCATAAATTCTGCATAGCTGACTCCTATGCCACCTTACTTCCTGTCCCAGGGTATCCAATGGAGCTGGCACAAGTTCCCTGCAGTAGGGTGAATTTCATCCTTTACTAGTGCAACTGAAGCTTGCATTGTCTATGCTGTATTAAGGACAAGAGCTCAGTCTCCAGTGTTGTCAATCAGGAGCCTTTCACACGAACTATATTCACTTTAATCACACACACACACACACACACACACACACACACACACACACACACACACACAAAAGGAAATTTTATTTGAAAAGTTCTGAATTTTCCAAGAGTGTCATTTTAGAGCTGGAAAGTTCTCTGTTTTATGGGTATCTCCATATGACACCTATTGGAGCTGATCCATTCCGGAACTCAACCAAACTCATTAACCAGAATTGGACTGGAGCTAGTTCCTATGAGAAATGTAGGCTTTTGTTTTTAATAAAACATGTGGGCCAAATTAGAACGTAAATAAATGAATGACTCTCTAGAATCCCAGATAACACTTGCTGAGCAATGGGTCAGGCCAGATTTAATCTAAAAATCTTTCTGCTGCGTGTAAATGATTATGTCATAGCATTTGTCTTTAATTACTAAACTCTTTCCAAAGGCTTGACTCATAGCATGTTTCTCGGTTAACCACATAAACTTGTACTACACGATTTGTCATATAGATTTTTTTTCCTACAGCATTGTTAAGCCCTGGCTCCTGAAAAAGGAAAGTAGTGATCTCTCAGAGAGACACACTTGATCTTTACAGTAGTGGCTTTGGTTTTTTGGTTTTTTTGGTTTTGTTTGTGTTTTTTATAAAGTTTCCATATAAAGAAAAAAATTACACCATTCAACTTTTGGCTCATGAGAAATATTGTTTACTATTGATATAAAACCACAACAATGAAAGTGTTTCGTCAAATACATCTAGTTAAATACCTGTGCTACCTATAAAACAAAATGCACGAGAACTGCCTTATAAATCCAAATGTAAGGATTGCTGTGTATCATGTCTG